TTCGTTGGTTAAGCTTGGTCTTCAGTGATGTTCGTTTCCAATGCACCGTGAGTTCTACTAGTACCAGTACTACACGCTTAATTGAAATTGCATAAAGAAATATGTCTGGTCTGGACGCCGAGGCACAGATATCCTCCGGTATTCTGTAGGTAATGATTGCCATAAGTGTCCACTAATAATATCCAGTCACTGGAGGTATTTATAATTGAGTACTCATTTGGATTAAGTTTACGAAATAAAATACTTGAATATAAAATTTGATTATCGGTTTAACGTTATTACAGAAATACTCGTAATGATGGAAAATACCTATGTAGGTAACATGTAAAGAAAAATAACAAAAATATTTAAAAATACGTGTCATGTACGAATCTCATTTATTTTATTTATATAAAAAACAATTTATGACATCCATTTCTTTTGAGTGTTTTAGCTACTTTCATATTCATAACATAAATAATACTGCCGCCATAAATTATGAACCTCCAACCACCAAAAGCAATAATATTTATTGTTCTCCAACAAGCAGTAATGCTTTTACAGCAAAAACACTATCAACAAGATGCCACGTATTTAAATCATAGACTTTTTTGACTAACATTTTTAAATTAATGGCGAGCTACACTTAGATCTTGCAAAAAAAGTCTATTTCGATAGTCTATAGTTAATGACTTGGTGATTACTTCGTTCGCGCCAAATCGTGATATAATGTTGGCAGTTTTTTACTTACTGTTTTCTCCTAAGCCACTTTGTGTTGTAAATATCAAAAATAATGATGACTTTTTTATTTCTCTTTTCAATTTGTAAACTCGCAGTGACAAAGTAATATAATGTGTATAAAAAAAATATTAAGGACTAGAAGAAACTTAGCCATTTATGTGTTTCTAGCTTAGCCTTTGATTGCCGTATTTTACAACAAACACTCAATAAATGTTTACCGAGTTGAAACATAGTCATCATATTTCGTTTAAGAAATCTTAGGTTAGGTTACGCAATAAGTACTTTTAGTCTGCATTTGTCCAACTCTCTTACTTTTTAGTCATTTGAAAGTAACCGCACGTTGCTAGCTAGCGTATTTCAGCATTCTTATTCCTGCCAATACAATTCATGTTTTTCACATTTCACACTAGTAACTACTTGAGTACTCTATATCAAAAATAATATGATTTTTTAACCATCTTATCAAAGATGAATCAATAAGTCATCCTTAAAGCTCAAACGTTAAATTTTTGTAGGTATGGTTCTAGAAGCAAAAAACGTTATATTTTAATCAAACTTGTGTTTGTGTGATAAATGAAACGATAGAGACAGAAGTTGGAAATCTTTTTTTTCTATCTACCTAATTATGAATGTTTTGGATTATAGCAGTGTGAAATTGCTGTGTACTGTTTTCTCTCTATTCTTATTTTCAGTTTATAAAAAAATCCTCAGAACACGTACCCAAAGATATTAACTCGAATAAAAAAGTTATATTTAAAAGCCAAATACGGCTTTACATCACAGTTCTATATCCAAACGATGCCACGGTGTTGAGACAACCAACCAACCCTAAGCCGTCGGCCTGTCGAGGCTTAACTCGATAGCCCACAACCCTCCACGCGTCCACGCCCCATACTACCTACGTAGGTGCAACAGGGTAAGAATAACTGGCTTTTGTTTTTTTATATTGGACTTAGGGTTAATTGAAAAATGTCTACACTTTTTTATTTTTGGTTTATAGTAGCTCCAAAAATACATTTTTATTGCCTCATTACGATTACCCGTTGTTAATAGAAATCTAAACTACTAAAATACCTAAATCTGAAGAGTTTTTATTTGATTACATGTTTTGTTGCCTGTAAGTATATTTTTTATGAATGTATGTTTTAGCGCCCTTTTTTCACATTTATTTACTTCCATTAAATATCTAAAATAGAAACACGATCTCTTTATGTTATAATCGTTTTTGAACAAGCAATATTTACAATAGTACTTTTGTTTTAAGAAAAGTTGTATAAGTATTTATAATTTTTTTCTCCATACATTGTACTTGTACATATGTATAATAAAGAGCATAAAATAAAGAAAGATAGTGGACAGTATATGTTTACAGGAAAGTATTTACTTTGAGGTGTAGGTAGTGGTATAATTTATATGTAAAATTTTTATATTCGAAATTCAAAAAATCCTTGATAACTGGATCATTCGATTTGCCGATGTGTTAATAGCTGATGACAGAACGACAGAAGTCACTTGATCCTGCTTAGAAAGTACGATACGGCGCGATCTGAGCCTATCAATAGCCCACTCTTACTGTTGGACACGCACTTACTTCCCTTCACTAATGTGATTGTATTTATCTATTTATATTTAAGTGAGAAATACTTTTAATTCCTCAAACGAGCAGATGGTCACGTGAATTTAAGTGACTATGGGCATGGACACCCTCGCCCGTGGACACCTGCCAGTCAAAAGTCAGAGAATACGTTGCCGCCCTTTGAGTCGAGTGTTTTATTATGATAATATTAATAACTTCACACATCCCACACACGGCCGTCTGGTTCCTAACTAGGCAGAGCCTGTGCCATGGTAACCAGACTGCTGATAAACATACTTATATATTGCTAAATACACACATATTATAGTTAAATTACATCCAGACACAGAACAAATGGTCGTGCTCATCACATAATTATTTGTCCTGGGTGGAAATCGAACCGACGACCTCCGGATTAGCAGTCAGGGTCACTAACCACTAAACTAACAGGCCTGTCTAACCTCTACTATTATTGTTCAGTAAATGTTTTGTTATCATATTTTGTGAGGAGCTCGTGGCTAAGTATTAACAGAGTTGGTGAACACATTGCAAAGTTAACCAATCCTAGCCAGGTCAGTCTATGGATGGGTGTCCATTGTTAAGACATTGAGACCCGTTGAGAGCACGTTAAGCCGTCGGTCCCGGTTGCCATACGAACATTTGTTGCAATCGTTACGGGCAATTCGAACCCTAAAAAGTCCCACAACAGTATTTCTGCAGAACTTCGCCATCGCCTAGTACTTGGGTTGTGGAGTACTGGTAAAAAATCGAAGTTCAACCGTGTCAATGTCAATAGTAGACTTAAAGCCGATCCCAACCTATTTCGGGAAAATGGCTTGGACGAAGAAGAAGTAGTGTTTTCTTATCATTTTGTATGTAGGTGTAAATAAGGTTAATAACACAGGTCTTATATACTCGTATAAGCAATCCTTAATACATGAGAACTAGTAATACTATAACTGATTATTATACTGATGTTTGCTTTATTAAACTTTTTAATGGTAACTTCTTTAATGCAAATTGTTATTAAACTAATTCGACTTTTTGTTGTAGAGTTTAGTTTTCTTTAGTATTTGAAAAGGACTATTAAATTTTTTTCACAAAAAAATAACAAAAAGGGAGTTGTAAAATCGTAGGTATTTTTGTGTTTTTTTTTACATATTATATAATTTTAACAAATTAATTCACGCCTATGTTAGCATAGAAATATGCAACCGCATATAATTATAATTAAACACCAATATTATTATTATTAAAAATGATTAGATTCAACAAAGAGATCTTTAAAAAAGGTACCTACCAAAGATTCTTGTAAGTAACGCGCGACTGTTACCCTTGTTATTGTAAACTGAGGCATTTTTGTTTTCCACTTTAGTGGTGTAACAAATATTACTGCAAGATAAATGTCACCACCACACAAGTCCTTGGTTTGGTAGTGGTTTAAGCGGTCACCTCGCCGCTTCCTACTGCGCTGGGTGTTGTAGGTTAGATCCCCACATAGGACAACACTTTATGAGATCCACAAATTGTTGTTCTGAGTCTGGGTGTCCTTTGTGTCCGTTTAATGTATGTTTTTCAAGTCCCCCGAGATACAGGATTTATACCTAGTGCGGGAGTTGCCTTTTTTAAAAGAAATAAAAAGAAAGAAAGATAAAATATGGATACATACCTACATCGTTATATTAATATGAGTGGGTAGGCAGGTACTACGAGACATAAGACTCGGAATCTTTTTCGCGAGGAAGTTTTATGGCATAGCTTATAGAGTTATAGCTTAAAAGCCTCTTCTCTAGAAGTCTTCTTTGTTAGACAGTCTATTTTAAAAAAGTGAATTCAAACAAACGAACAACAAAGAAACTCTTTTTTCAATTTTTTTATTATTCATCAAAAATAAATTCTTTCTTTCTAATTGGAAACACACATTTAAAGTAATAATTTCGAAGCCGTATTTTTAACTATAGGTACCTACTTACTAAAACATATGTAGGTAGGTATATAGAAGCAATATGTCAATAATAATTACTACTGTAAATAGTTAATCGACCATAATCAATATTGACAATTAAAAAAAATAAATAAAAGGAATTTCCAGAAAAAGAATACCTTGTCAATAACTACTAGGTTATAAAAGACAGAATCCACAATCTGTTGACAAACAGATTAAGACAAAAAGTACTGGACTGTTTTATGTTTAGGTACCTATTCATACAGAATGTTATATAAAGTTGAAGTCATATTAGGGGTCGTATTTGTAGTAGACCCTGCGAGTGACTTAAATCACTAATAAAAGTTAAAAAAAAAACTTGAATTTTAATAAAGAAATCTTATTTTATAACTTACCAATGAACTATTAAACATACCACTAACTGTGCGGTTGTCTACGAAAATATCCGAATTAACAAATAAAAAAACAAAACATTTTAAAATTTATACCTACAAATATAATATACTCGTAGGTATGCTGTCAAAAAGCAACTTTCAAAGAAAAATTAACTCAAAGCCGATAACTTCAAATATTACTATCATAAAATACCTATTACTACACCGTTCTGTAACAATCTGTAGATTTATAAAAAAAATGTAGGTATCTGATTTTCTTATCGATATCGCAAAATATTGATGAAATAGCCATAAATAATAAAATCGGTTGACAAGCAAAGAAGTAAAGGCTTCTTTAATAACAGAGTAAAAAAGTCCAACTCACCAGAATCACTGTCATCTCTATCATAATGTGGTCTCCAATACTGCTCGTCAAATCTCAATGGCACCTCGGACCTGCCGGTGAACTTTGTAGGGTCAAGGATATTCTCCACGGAGAATGCTATAGCTGGCCTGTCGGGTGGCCTCGTCAGTCCCAACCTCCTCGTCAAATCGACAGGCGCAGCCTCCTCAACACCTACAACATCAACCTCTCCATTCGCCTCTCCTTCTCCTTCCGTCTCATCCTCGGCCTTCTCTCTTCGCTCCTCCGATCCTCGCGCCATCGCAAGCATCGTCATAGCAAGGCCTATTTTATTATTTTTCAAACATAAAATATGAATGTCCTATGACATGTTGAATTAACACTTTCACTGCACACGACAGTTTTTTTAGTCCGACTTTAGTTCAAATGTCCGACTTCTGGTTTAACTCTTATCTGTTTATGTAGCACACGAAAGTGTCAGTTCGCACTATCTCTGTACGAGACGTTCGTCCCGGCCCAACATCCGATTATCACAACTCGACATCAACTGAAACCGGGAGTGCAGAAACGGGCGGGAACCGAAAAGGAGGGGACGGGACAGAGTGGGGGGACAGAATTTCGTCATCGGATTGGCGGCGGCAAACGAGGCGTGCCCGGGGTGGAGAAACGTAATCGAGCAATAAGGTTTAAACAATTTCGTTTAATACGTTGAATTATGTAAGAGAGCGGCGGGCAAGTAATCGCGCACAAGCGATAAGGCCATTTGCGCTACTTCGTTACGTATTAATGGGCCAGGAAATTGACTTATGAATATTAGAGGTCGTGGCGAGTTGAAGATCGGGCTAAAGCGGCCCCGGGCGGCTCGCGCGCTTATTTTCCTAGTTAAGCGTTGGAACAATGATGTTTATTGAGTTTTGAAGTTAATGGGTTTGGGCGCGAGCCGCGGGCCATTTGCGCCATTAGCTCTGTTTGTGTAGTCGGCTACGTAACGACTTTTCATGAAACGCTCTGTGAAATATAACCTTCACGTATCGCTGTTTTTATATCCCAAATGTAATTACAAAAGCACATAAAGCCGAGATCAGCGATATCAATTTTTATTAATGTATAATTCATAATGTTCTAAAATATTACAATTGAAATATATACGAAGTTCAATGTTTAAGAGTCCATAAGTCCACACCCCTGTTATTTTATGATTTGAGTGATCGATTCTTTTTGCTTTTGCTTGTTGAAAACGTTATGAAATTAGAAACCGTCGAAATATACCTACATCTAGGTAGGTATAAAAAATTACATTGATTTGCTGATGCCTATACCTAACTTTGCTAATTAACTGTAGCAGGCACTCATCTCCCTCTCATCGGATATTATACCTATATCGATAGTTAAAACCTTATTGTTACTTAAAAATATCAGTTAGGTATTATTTGTTGTTACCTACCTACCTTTACTGTCACATGGAATCAACTTAAAGGTCGACATTATTTTTTAATTTCTCAACTTAAGTATCATATGGCATAATATGACACTTCACATGATAAACGAAAACTGAACTTGAAAGTAGTGCAAATCTTCCCTTTTGTCGTCTTGACTTCACCCGAAGGAAGCGATGGGGTTGACTACCTACCTATATGTAAGTAGATATACCTACTACCTTTTGGGTACGGGCAAGCTTGTCAATCTAAATGCAGCAGCGGAATTAAGTCTGTTTAGTAATATCAAGTATGTTCCAACAAGTATTGCGGTAATTATGCCTAATAACTTTACACGTCTCACTTGCAGCCGTGAGATCATAAACTAAGCAGAACCTGTATACCTAACTAAATCATGTATCAAATAAAAAAGTTAAGGTGGCACTCTGTGAACAATGTAGCGAGGCCAATTAAAACTACGCCTTGGCGTGTACATAGTCATACACAATTACACGCACACACTTACATCGAAACTACGCCTTGTTAGTCAAAACGTCATTAATAATGTAACAATATTTACAAGTAAAAACGCTGAATTGTGTTGTGAAAGAGTGTAAAAATCAAACTACAAAAGATAGTAGGATAGAATCGCATTTCACACATAAGTAAGCGTACACACACATGTTTAAAAAACCGCCGTCACTTCGTTCTTCGCATAGTTTTATATTAACTGATTTATTTGATCTGAGACCTACGTGTGAAAACTAAACTGATGATAAACATACTTATATCATATTTCTAAATACATATACCTCTGTAACACATAAATTACAACTATAAACAGAAAAAAATATGCACTCATCACACAGTTATATGTATAATGGTCCTGGGTAGGAATCGATCCATGACCTTTGGTTTAGCAGTCAGGATCATTACTGATGCCCATGCCTACAAGGCAGACTCCCATCAGGGCAGTCAAATAATAATAATGATGTTTATAAGCTCCAAGAAATATTTTAAATCAATTATACGTATAAACCGTCATTCAATAATTCAACAGTCAATTTCCCATTTTAAACGTCAGTTTACGTCAAAATGGAACCAATGGAGACATCAGGATGTGAACACCGAGGATTCAGATAAACCTACCTAACTTATGAGAGACCTTAACCACTTGAATTATTTCGTTGTTTTACTAAGATGGTGATCATAAACGAAAAATTTACTGTCAGATAGGTTGTTGCATCGAGGGCGTAAATACGTCTGAAAAGTAAAATAAATGTTTGGTATTAACACGGTCGCTAAGGCCGTGTCAATATTAGACATTTATTTGTTTAATATATGCCTAAACATTTATTAACTTGTTTATTTGTTCAATTCGTCCTACAATATATCTATTTCGGCTCTCTATCAAGATTCCATTTATTCCTTTATATAACCTATAGTTGTATCAAGTGTTATACAACAGAACAATCTTTTAAATGGCTATAAAAATTTACAAAATAATGTGTAATGATTGGCGCTCTTTTGGACAGGCCTTCGCCCAGCAGTGGACCGCAATAGGCTAAAGTAAGTGTGCCTCAGTTGAAATTACATAGGTATTGATGGCCTACGAAACAACAGACCAATAAAACCCCTTATATTAGGGTTAAAGTATGAAATTGCCGATTTGTACTGAAAAATTGAAACTCGTTTTTTTCTGAGATGGAACATCTTTATTTAATCAAAACATTTACCCTCATTATCTATACATTGCTGCCATCTAAACGGATTTATGCCTTTTCGATAGAACTCTAGGGATCTAGATTCGACAAACTGTGTAAAAGTATTTTGTACTGCCTCCTGGGAAGAATTTCTTTTATCACGTAGAAAATTGTCCAAATCACGAAAAAAATGGTAGTCCGTTGAAGCAAGGTTTAGTGAGTACGGAGGATGACGTACGTGACGGTTTCTAACTGCAGCTCCTGTAGAATTACAACGGTGTCTCGTGCAGTGTGAGGTCTTGCTTTATCATGGAGCAATAATGGTGAAGAACGATTCACGAGTCGGGGCTGTTTCACTGCCATTTCGCTATCATTGATCGAATTTTGGCTCAGTAAACATCTGCTGTTATTGCCTAACCAGACCTAAGAAAACTATAGTGAATAACATTATGAAGCCACCAAACAGTTACCATTACCTTTTTATTGGTAAGCTTTGCTTTAGGGTACTGTTGCGGCGTTTGACCTGTGGTCAGCCATTGAATTTTCCGCTTACTTTGATCGTAGACAATCCACTTTATGTCACATGTCACAATTCGATCCAAATTTCCTACATTTCTAAACCGATCTAACAAGTCATCACAAGTTTCAACACGCATTTCATTCTGCAGATCAGTCAATCGTGATGCACCTATTTTTCATTTTTATTTTTATTTTATTCATTTGATGCAAATGAGTCAACATTGTAGGTAGCGGTAACGTTAAACCATACCGCTAACTCCTGGGTAGTTTGACTCGGCTTCCACCATCTTCTTCAATTCACCGTATTCACCTGTGTGAGTGGTCTTCTACGTGGTTCGTTCTTCAAGTCAAAGTTTCCATTACGAAAGCGTTTAAACCAAAAACGCAAGGTGCGTTCATTAGCAGTCTCCTCTTCAAACGCAGCGTTGATATTGCGAGCCGTTTCTGCAGCGTTTGTTCCGCGTCGGAACTCGTGTTCAAAAATGCCTCGGATTTTCAAAGTATCCATCTTTCACGTCTAAGCTGAATAAAAAAACAATTGAAAGTCGAAAATTGAATGCTGCACATTTTTTTAAAAGAAGAATCTCATAGGTATCATGTGAAAACAGTTTCACACGAAAATCCCGCACCATGAAGACTTTATGTCAATTCAAAGTATCCATTACTATACAACGGCAATTTCATAGTTTAATCCCTATTATTTGAGCCTAAACTTTATTTTGGGATTATGTTGCTGTGCACAACATCTACAAATATTTCTTAAAGAAATAACGATGCGTACTTATGTACTCATGTAGGCCTTTAATTAAAAACTGAAATTGCTTACTTTAGCCTTAATTTACATAGAAGGTGAATATAATAGGAGTCTTTAATGAAATAGTTTTTTTAGGCAACCAAAACTTTTAACTAAATAACGATTATAACCTAAATATAACATACCTAATAATAGTATAATACCTAAATATAAACTATTTATAAGGAAAGTAGTTCTATGTGTAGATAAATATTTCAGTAGAAATATTCAGGAATTTTCTGAAAAACAAACAGAAGACAAACGAATACTCAAGAGACAGCCCTCATTCGGTGAATAGCAACGCTAAAAATGCTTAGCACCGCTTTTATGTGTCGAAATTGTAACGCCCCGGTCGAACCGGAGCCCTTATACGACGAACCATGATTCAGCCACGGTAAGTTGGGTGAAACATGGCAAACTACAACGTCCAGTCACAATACACAGTGAGATAATCATTGCAATCGTTGTAGACAGTACGGCTTCGTGCTGAGCACCGAAGTTCACTATCAATCAGTCACTGGTTCAGTCTTGATCGTTTTGTATTTACACGGCTAATCGTAGCTAAAGATCTAACATTTAGACTCACCAATGATATGCACGATCTCCGTATTTCGACACGGCTTTCCACGAAACGAGATTTCTTTACAGGATGTTGTTTTCCAACAGCTCCATATGATTTCACTATATTGTGTTTGCCTTTTGTTACAGTAACTTTCGGTAATTAGAGTTCCTTATAGTTATTTATAATTATAGCTAACTTAGTAGACGGGCTCGGTGGTGCAATGGTAGCGTATGTGATTGCTGTACCGAGGTCTCGGGTTCGATTCCTGGGTCAGACCAAATGTTTGTATGATCTGCCACTATTAGTTTCGGAGTTTGG